CCGGTGGTGGATCTGTCAGTACTCTTTCAGCTGTAGTCGATATGTTAGCTATAGACAATTTGGAAGAAAAGGGCAATTAAGGCTTTCTGGTGAATTGGATGAGGGCCTGTCTGATAGAGGAACAGGAGCTACACCTGGAGGATTCTCTAAGATTGAAGGCTTCTGGTTGGAAGATGTCTCAGCCTCACCAGAAAAGTGATTTCTAACTGTTTTTCCTTTTGCTTTCATTTTGGCTTTACCATCATAAAAACACAAGTCTTTCAAATGACTGAATCTACTCTTGTAACAAGTCTAAAGGTCAAAATGAATACCTTCTCAAAGGAATCAGTTTCAATGTACAGTTGCTTGTTATTAAAGGTGTGAGTCTGGGGACTTCAGAATGCCTGGACTGTGAATCTTGTTGTTGCAAATCCAGATGTTACCACGACATTTGTACTTACTTGGGGACAGTATTCAAGAGTGTAGGTACAATGGCTTTAGCACCAGGATCAGGATCATAATTCTCCCAACCATTAAAAGTTGAGCCAGCTATAGTGGTGTGGCTTCTTCCACTACCTGGGATCTGAAAGTTTAAACAATCCATCCAATACATGGAAATATTAGAAAATGTAGTCATACTTTGCAGCTCTAGCAACAAGCAGTGATTGTATTTCCCTGAGTGCTTGGGTGTGGTAGTCACAGCCATGTTTAAAATGTTCTTCAAGTTCTCTGCTAGAATTTATGAAGAAAATTTATATTTGTAAAAGCGCTTGTAACAGCACTTTGTCAGCTTTGATGTACCTTAGATATGCTGCAAGCCTTAGGGTCTCCTGCTGAACCAGGCCTCTTTGCACTATTGACAGAATTTCCCAGTAATTTTGGTCTAGGAACCTTGAAACCTGAAGCAGGGGACAACAGTGTATTTTCATCCACTGATCCTTTATATCAAAATTTTTATTTTTGTAGACACTGAAAATCATACTGCCCAAGTTGGGCACTTCTTCACATTTGGCAAATACCACTTGTGCTCCAACACAAGTGCTTCACAAGGATTTCCTCTCTTGTGAAGTCCACCCTCCCTTTCTCTCTCACATTTCTGGAGATCTCTGTTATTGCCCACTTTGTAGCATTTCTTACCTAATTGTTAGAATTTCTAAAAAGAATATATAAAAAATACCTACTTTCTGAGAACTAACGGCAAAGCCCAGAGGTTTCTGTGGTTCCAGGAAGACACAATAGCCTGCTGTTCCCAGAATGACACTGCTGGTGCCATTTGATCTCTTAGTTTCCATATCAGATTCTGCACTTCATCTTGAACCTTGTGTCTCACTCCATCTACTGAAGTTAAAATAATCAGTGTGATTTAGGACTTTACATTGTGCAGACAATCTTTTCACAAAGGCATTTGTAATTTCTAATCCAATTAATGATACCTGATGGTTGCTGTAGCTGGGGTGGCTCAGGTCTTACTATGTGTGGGGGCTCACACTGGGGGTGCTGAGGTAGTGCGGCAATTCTTGGCCATCTGGCAGCCACCCCCTATGTCCTGCTTCACTTGGATGTAGAAATACTTCATGCAGGCAGAAATGGCAAGGGCACTTCCAGGCATTGGTAGCTCCAAAACTAGTGTTAAAGAACCCCCCACTCTTGAGTATGTTATTGACTTTCCTCTGGGTTACCTTATTATCTCCCCAGAAAATAGGGCCCAGGCCGGGGCCTGCCTCAAGAAGGGCTGGCTACCTCTGCTGCTGTCTGAGTGAGTGCCAGTGAAGGGCTAGAGCTTCTCTGCAGTTTGCCCATCTTGTTCTGTTGGGGAAACCTCATGTATGCTGTAGCCTTACTTTTGCTCACAGCATAGACATGTTTTTGATATTTGCTCTGCCTGGAAGGGCACGGTTTTCCTCCATGTTAGAGAGGCTGCCCTTGTGGGTTCTTGTTTTCAAGCCTGGAGAGATGATCTCCCTGAAGAGACGGGCTGCTATGGTGCTAGTCATGCTGCTGACAAGGTCCATTTCTGTTACTTCCACCAGGTGGCTAATTATGGAGTAGGAGGACAGTATGAGCCTCACTTTGACTTCTCCAGGGTAAGGCACAAATTGTGGGTGCTTTCTGAGTGCCCTGAGGAGGCTAGAGCTTCTAGGAGCACTTCAGCTTCCATATCAGCAGCCCCCCTCACCCCACACCTCCTTCCCCTTCCTAGTCCTATACTGATTTCCACCTCACCCCAGGAAACTCTTTGGTACTGTCAAAGCCCAAGTCTGGAACCAAGGAGCCTGTGGAGCCCAGTGGAGCTTGGCTTTTTCCCTTGCAAATGTGGGCCTTCCCAACCCTGCCCTAACCTTGTCATTCTTTGCCTTGATTCTCAAGCAAAGGGCCTCGCTGAGTCTTTGTGAAAATTGTTCCTGGTCCCTTTCCTCTTCCCTGCCAACCTCATGCCCTGGCTAGTATTTCCTTTGCAGTCTTGGCACATGTTACAGGCTGATTTATGGAATACATACTTATTACCTTCCCTGGACCCTTTTTACCCTAGTCCAATGGGCGGTGGGTGAAGTTGGTTGCAAACTTGGGTGAAAGTTGTTGTCTGTTGCAGAGACCTTTTGACAGCGGCCTCAAAACGGAGGGAAATAGGGTAGCCACATTTCTTAACTACGTAAGTATTGGATCCAGGACCTCCTGTTCACTCTCACTTAATTTTATAGAACCATGAGCGAGATGCTTTCAAGCGTTTAGGGACGGGGAATCGTGTGGCCACATTCTTAAACTACGTGAGTATGATATGTGCTGATGGGCCCTAAGGGGACTCTGGGTCCAGAAAGCTATCTTAGATCCCACCCCCATCAGGGCTAATGACCACCAGCTGTTGAGTTATGGCCAGGTTTTTCTGGCCCTCGGCACCCTTCTTGGCTGGAGAAGACAGAGTTGGCTTTTGTTCCCATTCATGTGATCTCCACCCCACAACAGGACTTTCACATCCCTAGCTCTGCTTTATTTTTGCCAATTTTTAAAACTGTGGTAAAATACACATGACATAAAATTTACCATCTTAACCATTTTTAAGTGTACAGTTCAATGATATTAAATACATTCACAGTGTACAAGCATCGCTAACACCTATCTCCATCTCTTTTTATCTTGTAAAACTGAAATGCTATATTCATTAATGGCAATCTCGGATTCCCCTCCCCCAGGTCTTGGCAGCCACCATTCTACCTTCTGTCTCTATGATTTTGATTACTCACATTGTATAAACTCATGTCAGCACAATCACAGGGTACTTGTCTTTTTGCACCTGGTACATATGTCCTCAAGTTTCATCCATGCTGTAGCATATTCTGGCTCCTTTTTGATGGGACTGGACTTTTGGGATGGGTGCCCTGAAGGGTTCCCTCCTTGGGATCAAAGCAAAGAGATAGTCTTAGCTCTCCTTCATGAGAGCTGCCTATGTTTTCCCCAAGGCTTGGTGGCCTGATTCCCACCTGCTGCCTCTGCTCCATCCCTAGGCCATTGGGTTTAGCTTTCACATGAGGAATGGTTTCCTCTCCCCTCTTCTGAGAGAGCCAGCTCTAAAGAGGTGCGGAGGTTATCAGATAGCTTAAGAGATAGGGCCATGTCCATTTTTTCCTTTTAAGTTTTTATTGTATGGTTATTGTGTGCTGGGGACTGTGCTGTGGATGTGCTGGTAAAGGACATGTGCTCTCTCTTGTGGTGCTTAAGTCTAATATGGGAAACTTACTTTAAACAGGAGAGATGATTATTTAGTTGTCATGGAGACAGGTGCTATGAAGAAGTATCCCAGTCTTGGCGTTCAGAGGAGGCCTCCCTGGGGAAGTAACATGTCAGTTGAGACTTGAAGATGGAGTGGAAATTAGCTGGCGGAACATAGTTTCTGGCAGAGGAGAGAGTTTGCCTAGGCCTTTAAAAAAAAAAAAAAGGAGCTTGGGATGTTGGAAAAATAGAAAAAAGTCCGTATGTCTGATAGTAGATGCTAGTGAGCCTGACAAGGCCTTGGGGTTTACGAACAGAGTCTGGGTTTTATCCCTAGGGCTATAAGAAGTCATCAGAGGTTTTTTTTTTTTTAATTATAATACCATGTGTCTGTTGAGTACCCTCCAGTCTGTCTGTTATGTGTCCTGTGGAAATATTTTTTAGCCCCAATTTTTATTAAATTATGGACAAAAAACTTGAAGTGAGAATTCTGGATGTGAAAGGAGAGGTGCTTTGGGCATGAGTTGAGACGCAGTCTGTGGGCATGACAGTAGCCTTGCTGCTATGGAACTTGGATTCTGTTTTGTTCAAGGGCTTACCGTTGGAGGAAAGCAGAGGAGTCTCTGGAGATCCAGTGTCTCACCTGTCCACTCAGATGCCTCCTGGAAGGGGCTGTTCTG